TCGGAGAGATCGACTTGGGATACCTTCCTTGTTAGACATCGTAAACTGATTTTCCATTTTTAAATTCAAACATATAATTGTCCCAATTAAAAAAAAAAAATTAAGGGATGAGCCACCCCTCACAGGCCTTACTTTGGATGGTGGTTTTACCCCCTTAAAGTGTTTAATGGCAGATAAAAAAAAATACGTGTCGTTTAGTTTTTGGTCTACTATAACATATTATAAAAGAAATGAAATCGGAGAGATCGACCTGGGATACCTTCCTTGTTAGACATGGTAAACTGATTTTACATTTTTAAGTTCAAACATATAAATTTTATATTTATATATGTAAACGTTTAATACGTTTCAATTAAACATTCTAAACCTTTGAATTTGACATAGTCGAGGGTCATTCGTCAATGACGATTTCTCTCGAAAGTGAGGAGAAACAAGACTGCTCGGAGGCCGTCGGCCGATCGATTTCGAGGAATGCGACACCGACAAAGTTAGTTGTCAAAGTCCCGAAGATCGTCGCTACTTCCGTCCGGATCAAATGATATCGGAGACTTCACTTTCATCGGGGCGCTTCACTTTGCGCGGCTCGGATTCAGGAGAAATTTAAGACTGGCGGATAACGTAATTGTACATGCACTCGGGTACACGTCGATACTCCGGCATATGCGAGAGAATTCGATACCACCGAAGGTATCTCTTCGTTTCGAGGCTTTCGAACCGGACTGGTTCGTTCACCCTTGGGAAATTCCCGAAAAAGAAATGACTCCTCGTCGACGTCGAACGGAAAGACGCGCCATGTCCGCCGTGGACGAGAACACACGTATGGTAAAAAAAAAAAAGAAGGTCACATTGCATGAGTTAAGTAACCTCAAATATTTAAGGAAAAAGACTCGAATGTCGTCGCCACGAGGAGGGAATCTAAATTTCTGAAATTTCACTTAGGTGATTTCTAAAAGGTGACTTCCATGCGTTAAGGTGATATGAAAGGATCATTGTATATATCAGAACGTCGAAATATTGATATAACTTTTCTCCAAACTGGGTGCACCCAATCATTTGAAACTTCGGCACGTGATTATGAAGGCCCAACGGAAGAAGGCGATGGTCGTAAAATTTCATTTTCCGAAAAAAAAATTTTTCTTTATTAATGCTAGACCAGAACCAAGATCACATATTCTTTTTTTTTTTTTTTTTGTGAAGAATAAACTTTCACGAACAACGCGTTCTTCCTTAGGGCCTTCATAATCACGTGTTAAAGTTTCAGATAATTCGGTGCACCCAGTTTAGAGAAAAGTTTTATGAATATTTTGACTTTTTGTTATGTAGATATCATACTTTCACATCACCTTAAATAACTAAAATACGTCTTTTCATCCTAAAAGTGAGAAACGAGTACGAGGTTTTAACGTTCACGTATTCCAGTATTATCCTCAACGGAAGTCGCGAAGGGGCTCGTCGAACGACTAGGGATAATTCCCTAGGAACGGCACATGGTCGCCGGAGCATTTCCTCTATAGCGCCAATAGCATGAATTATATTTAATTTCTTAATTAACCTTCTTTAACTTTTTTTGGAAAAGTAAAGCAACTCAGGACCTACATCGGCCTTTAATTCCCGTGGTAGAATATCAAACGATTCAGTACACCCAGCTCGGACAAAAATTTCATGACCTATGAACTCCAATAAGTTTCCGCCGTTTTAATTACGTTCTTTTAATACATTCATATCACCGAAAATGTCTAAAATACGTCTTTTAACCCTAAAAGTGAGATACGAGTACGAGGTCTTAACGTCCACGTATTCCAGTATTATCCTCAACGGAAGTCGCGAAGGGGCTCGTCGAACGACTAGGGATAATTCCCTAGGAACGGCACATGGTCGCCGGAGCATTTCCTCCAGAGCGCCACCAGCAATCCGTGATCCGCGACTTTTCCCGTGGCCTTACGTCTCGCGAACCGGTCAATAAATCGTACGAAACCACGCTTTAATTTTACGACGAGCCTCGTAAAGCAGGAATCCCGAGTGGAGCGGCACAAAGCAATGGCCGGCAATAAAGCAATCAGCTCGATCTCGGGCCGTGCAAAAGAACTAGACCGACCGGCTTCTCTCGCGCGATGAGTTATTTCCCTTAGACCCGGTCTAAAGGGCGAATCGCCTGGAATCTGCCTATCCCGGCTGCGGACACGACTCGGTCTCGTTTTACGCTTCGAAACGTTCTCGATGCATCCTGGGTGAGCTTTCTTGCGAATAGCGTACTTAACGGCCGCAAGTGCGTACCTGCGTACCGGAAGAGGTACCTCCTTAACGACTCGCAAACGTTTCATTTCCTCTCCGGTGCAAAGCGTCTGACGTTCTGTGCACACATACTGCACTTGGTAAAATCGATAAAACCGATTTTTTTCTTCACAATAGGTGAATAAAAAGAAGAAAAAAATCGGTGCATGGAATTGAAACTAGTAAGATATGGAGAATTTTTATGTATAATTAGAGATCAATTGCTTTTAACCCTTTGCGGTCATGTCTACTCTCAGCCACCAAAATTCTCTTGATCTTGGGAAAATGCGACCGCAAAGGGTTAAGGTGATGGGAAAGTGGCGTCGGAGCTCGTTCATGAAACTTTTACTCCAAACTGGGTGTATCGAATCGATTCAAACTTTACAATGTAAATATGGAGGGTGTAATGAAAGTCCTGAAACTCGTTAAATTTCAATTTTTTGTACATTTGTTCATAGATATTTGAGAAAATTTGTTGTATAAAATGAAATTTCGTGAGAGTCAGGACCTTCCCTGTAACCTACACATTAACGTTGTAAAGGTTGAAACGATTGACTCTTCACATGCCACTTTCGCATCCCTTAATTATTCCAAAATACCCTCACAAGTTCGGCACTGCTCGTATTGGGTATGATTAATTTTCATTTTTATCCGTATTAATTCTAATCCAGTGTAGACCTCAATAATTAAAGAAGAGAATAACGCATAAACGCCGACGTAAACGCCTACGCAAATTGTACCAGTAATACGAAAATGCAAATATGAATGCAAATGGTACCATTATTAATACGAAAATGTATAGATGAATGCAAATGGTACCATTCATACGAAATTGCAAAGATGAATAAAACTGGTGGTTACCTCTAAAAACAAATTGTTTAACCTTTTGCCGTAGAAATTAACTCAGCAAAATCCGGACCAAAGTGATCCGCGAAAATTGTGAGAAAACGAGCCAAAATGGTGAGAAAAAAATTATCGCAAAATGGGAAAATTGATTTCATCGGAAATTCAGATATCACGAGTCTAACTCCTGATGTTCATGTTCAGCTTAAAATTGTTATCACGAGTCAGACTCGTCAAACTACGGCAAAGGGTTAAATGTACACGATAAATGAAATTTTACTTGAAAGAGAAGTGGCTGTTAATTTTTCCAAAATATTTTCCAGAGAAGATGGACTCGCGCGAGGATTTAAGTATGACGAATTCACCGCACCCCTTTACGAAAATGTGTTTTAAGGTTTTGTAAAACCCTTTTCGAGGTTACGGACTTTTCCTCCGTCCTCCTTCGATACAATCGGGATCCTCCGTGGACCATATGCAATTATGCACCGGCGTCGTTGCAGCATTTTAAAAGATCTCTCTAATACCGAAACCAGTTCGCGCTTAAGCGCCATGCCAGGCGTAAGCTCCTTTGCTCGGCTAAACTCCGTCAAATAAAGACCGCCTATAAATAGCGCAATTTCTCCCAAGTCTCGTTACGTTTTAAGGTGATAAGCCATAAGGCGATAAGCCGACTCCACGAATCGCCAAAGACGCGTCGGCCAATCATAAGCGACATCCGACAATGTGGGAAAAAAAATTAAGTGCAATCGCTTCTTACCCACCCTAATTATTCAGGTGCGTATATATTTACAAAATTCAAATTTCTATACCTTAAGATTTTATGCTCTTTATCTACTAATTATGTGCTAGATAGAGATTTGAATTTTGTAAAGGTGGGGGTGACAGCTATACCTTAATTATTCTCATTCACCGCGATCTTCTATTAATTAGCTTCAGCAGAAATATGACCCAAAAACGGGCTATCACGGTGAAACATGAAACGTTATTGCTTCTACATTTATGATGACGTCTGTGTACATTTGTGACGACGACAAAGCGTAAATATAGGAACGCTGCTTCTCAAGCGTGACGATTATTGCACTAAAAAATGTGAAATTTGCGGTTTAATTAAGATACCGCACGGGATAGTTACAGGTACGACAATTGGACAGTAACGTTTAAGTCGTAATGACACAATCTAGTCTAATCGAGTGATGATTACCATTTGTGACGTGCTCACCGCACCAATTATTAAGTCGTCATTAATTGTTACGTTAAATTTCTTATTGAATTTAGCTTCATCACCCAGAGCACCCAGAGAACGTAAGTAAAGCTGGCACTTCCACTTTCAAATGTTCAATTTCAATTCCTCGATATTCTAAAATTCAGTGCTAATTAGATGCTAATTTGGTTCCATAATGGCGAATTTGGTGCTCACCCCCAAAAGGGGTGAGGAATGTTTTTTTGACGAGGAATCTTTTTCCAAACACTAACAAAGTACATCAAAAAGGGTGCAATATGCAAATTAAGGTGGCTATAATTAGGTGCTAATTAATTACGGGTGAGCCTTAGTGCATTTGTTTTCGCTTCATGGAAATTCCGTACAAAGGCCTCCGAAATCGGTCGAAATCACCCTCTAGTGATTAACCCATTTGCATCATAAGGAAGTATGAAAAAGAGGGTTCCTTATCACGAAATTTCCGGCTGAATGATAGTGACCAGTAAAATTGAGCGTATATATACGCTCCGGTGATAGTGACCAGGAAAACTGAGCGTATATATACGCTAATGATGCAAATGTGTTAGAGTTGTTTCCCATTGAAAAATTCTGCGACACCCAAATCCCCTTCTCGGAGAAACGCGGGGTCGAAAAAACAAAGGGGGAGGAAATTCTAAAAAGTACTCACCACTCGTCGAGCTGTACTCGCCGATGTACCGCCTGGTCAAGTACCGCACCACGACCGCTGCAACAGAGAGGAGGAAGAAAAAAAATTATCAGAGTGATTTAGGGGCTCGATAAGTAGGTAATCGGAGTATAAAAACGGGGCGTTAAAGGCCGCAAACGACGCGGGGGATCCCGGGACGGGAGGCGATCCCGTGGCTTATATAGATCGTGAATAATTAGCACACTTTTCCTGTCCCGGGGCCGGCTAATTGCCGTCGATAAATTTGACAGGGCCGGGGCCGTTAGAAAGTACCCCGGCTTATTTGCATGCCTTGTTCATTTGCGCCTCGTTAAGTGTGCTCGGCCTCATCGCCAACCAAGATGGCGGATAATCGACTCTTTCCGCGGGGCCGTAAAATTTGCATTAGCCGATAAACTCCGATAGGAGATAGGTCGCTTTCGAGAGCTCGAGAGTCGGAAACGTCGCCCAACATCGCGACGAGCCTTCCAGGGTGACGCCGGAAGAGGGATCAACGTGAAAAAACGACGCCAAGAGACGACGTCCGGAAGGGGCATTTTCTTGCGGCGTCGCCTTTACCGTCGCTCTTCGTGTCACCGGGAATGTGTGTATCTCTTTGTTTGGATTTCGGCCCTTTTCACTAAGGGCTAAGTACCATTGTTTTTTCGCAAACGCTACGCAATAACTCCTTGATGGTCACCCATCCGAGTAGCGACCGCGCCCGATGTCGCTTAACTTCGGTGCCTTACGAGATCCTATTCTTCTTTTTAATTTCCTTTATTCAACAGGAGGTAATCATACAAATATAATTTTGTAACAATTTATAAAAATGTATTCAGTATCTTATACATCTTCTGATTTGTCATTTTTTTCATTTTACGTTTCTCCTTTTTATGTAAAACTACATGTAAAGGGTAAAAGTGTATGTAAATCTCCATGGATTTTTTCTCAGTACACCACCGAACCTTAAAAATCATTTCGACTCTGTCACCATTCACGGCACGTGTACTTTTCGCGGATGAGTTGAAATTGTTGATATAAAATCGTTTCTCAAAGATATACATGTTTCTGGGTTTTATAAATATTTAACAGGGTACATCCTAATAAATAGCCGTCGTGAAAATTTCCGCCGTTGGAATAGAGGAGTTAAACCACCCCTTAAGAATGGGAATTACGGTCCAGCGCGAGCGCGCAAATTTACAAAAGCCGTCTCGAGGTCGCCGATCGCGTTCGATTCGCGCCGCTCGATCACGGCGGGGTCCCCCTTAACGCGTGCCGGGCGCGAATCGCTCGCGATCCCATTATTAGGTGTAATAAAAATATTCGAAGGCAGGACCCACCTCCTGTCGACGGACTGCCAAGCGCGCGCTCGTCGCTTTAAGCGCGAGCCCTGCAATTTCGCGCCGAGGAGAAGATTGCGCCTCCGCGGGTCCCTTATCTGCCCGTAATTACACACTGTAACGACCTAACACCTCGAAAACCGCCACTCGATCGGACTGCGAGCCACACTTTGGCATTTTAGGGCCAAAAGGGTGCGCATCGCTCGCACGCAAGCATTCGATTCTTTCTCGAGGACGTGCTACTCGTTGATAGCAATTTCTACACGTACCTATCACGGGGAGACGGACGCGATAACGTCAGATAATTTGGAAAAAAATTAGCAGACATTGGATTAAAGTTCGTAAAAATAAAAGAGAAGAATTTTCGTAAAAATAAAAGAGAAAATTGAATGATATAATTAAAATATTGCGTCTTCACCCACGTGACTCGTCGGTAGCAATTTTTACACGTGCCTATCACGGGGAGACGGACGCGATAACGTCAGGTAATTTGTATAATAATTAGTAAGGACATTGGATTAAGGTTTGTAAAATTAATAGAGGAAATTGAATAATATAATTAAAATATTGCGCCTCCACCCACGTGACTCGTCGATAGCAATTTCTACACGTGCCTATCATGGGGATACGGACGCGATAACATCAAGTAATTTATAGCAAGTCTCTTAAGGTTTGTAAAATAAATAGAAAAAATTGAATAATGTAATTAAAACATTGCGCCTCCACCCACGTGACTCATCGATAGCAATTTCTACCTTCGTCGCAAGTACACAGAAGAAGAGTTCAGTCATAATAATTTTACTTGCTTATTTTGCTTGTTGCAACAAACTGCTGACCGCTTGAAAATGGGCCAGCAACATTTTTGTTACATCGACAACAAATAAAACGATAACCGGGGCAATGTAAATTCTATCCATAATTGCAATATTTTGTTTCATGGATCGGTATGAAAAATATATCTTGAAAGAAATCTCAACTTCACGTGTACGATGAAAGTTGAATGGTTCTAACTGTGAGTTACGGTACAGTGTTTTCCCCATTTTGCAATCTTTTTTAGAGACGTATCGAACCCACGTCGTCACGATCGATCATTCTCGAATCCTTCACGTAGGAGGTCCGACCTCGACCTCGGTACTCGGTATTCGTTACTCGATACCCGGTAACGAGTACCTGGTAAGAAACGCCGATTACACACGTACCGACGTTCATTGATCATCCCGACCGATGCCGATCCGCGAGCACTCATCGATTCGTAATTGATAGATATTGACTTGCAATCGGCAGTCGATTCCCGCAACTCGCTATCCGAAGAAAAAAAAAAATATCTCCTATTACTCTCTCGAGTTTTGCTTTACACAGCTTCCCTCGCAATCTATACACAGCCATTTATCTTTTCTGCCGCTCTACGACTTGCCCAACGATAATAAAGATTGCAAAAGAAAGATAAGAGCAGAATCAAAAGTTAAAGCAAATTTGACTTTAATTTCCACGTCAAAAAACAGTGAACAGACCTCGTCCAAATGTCCTATTAAATGTAGAAAATGTCTAAAAATTACGATGAAATAAATTCACGACCAAGTCAGTGACGCGATATCAAGAACCACGTTATCATCTTCCTGGAATAAAATGTGATTGAAAAATTCACTGTTAAAAATTTCACGCAATTTATCAATTCCATACAATCCAAGTATACAAACGAGTTGTTTCAAACAGATAATCCCGATAGGAAGTTTTAAGTCAGTACCCCTCGATGTTCATAAATTCGCGAACGAGTATCAAATTCGACAACACGGTACATCGGCACCTTTTTAAGCCACCTCCACCTTTTGCAACTTTAAGTCAGTATCCCTCGATGTTCATAAATTCGCGAAGGAGTATGAAATTCGACAACACGGTACATCGGCACCTTTTCAAGCCACCTCCACCTTTTGCAACATTAAGTCAATACCCCTCGATGTTCATAAATTCGCAAACGAGTATGAAATTCGATGACACGGTAAATCGGCAGGTTTAAACTCCACCTCCACCTTTTGCAACTCCGAAGCATTGAGATGTACATTGGACACATCGTGTGAGTGCATCATGTACTCCTTGGCTGAATAAATCATTCGAACCTCCATTCAGGAACTCATTGAATTACCACGGTACCCTTTGTCGCCTCTTCGCAGAGGACGCGGTTTTTCGCGATTTCTTTCGAAATCGCGGTGAATCCAACGACTTCATCGAGAAACCGGATACCTCGTGCACGGTACGGACAGTCCTTAAAAAGAATTTCATTGCCGCTGATTTACGTAGCTGTCGACATATCGTATAGACATCGTGCACTGCTGCACGCGGTTGCAGTACTTCGCGTTGACGGGAAATAAATACGTCTCGAGCGTATCCATTATGCCATCGCTCAACTACCGTGCACAGTGGAGGATCGCTCGATGTTTAACAACGAAGCGTTATACGTAATCTTCCTCGAGGAGATCGATCTTGACCTCGAAACTCGGGGCCCGAGTACAAGATCGCAAGAATCGATCGACGTTATCGCCGACCCCGACCGGGGTCAGCCCGCGAACTGTTCGATTCCTAATTGATCGGCATCGGTTCGACCTCGGGGAGATTTCTTCGATTTCACTCGAATATCCAAGTGGAGCCATCTCTCTTAACCGATCCCGAGTCGAAATGATCGATCCCGGTTGAATCTCGAGACCCTTTAATCATCCGACGGTGAACCTAAGGTGAAGTGAACCCCTCAAACCAGTCGATTCGAATTGTCGAACCATCTGATTGGAGTGAGGCAGCCTGAAGAACATTTCAGTAACATTTGGCCATGGTAAATGCGTGTCTTGTACGTGGTCAGAAAATAGCTAAAGGAAGGACTCGGAATTTATGACCCCGATCAGGGGGGTCTTCAAAGTGGCCACTTCAGGGTCTGCCATGGCGACGCATGCGTTGGTCTTTCTGCGACGGAAGATGCAAACAATCGGATGGGAGTGGGGACAGGACAGAATAGATCTTCAAATCTTCCTAGGACAAAGAAGTGTCCATCACGAAGTAGCATGAGGAGACATAACGCCAATGGTCAGTTCCATTGAAAATAACCCCAAAATCGGGACCCAGAATCTCAGATTTTCGCTGATCTAACGATACGAGCGCTACTTGCAAAAAATGAGGGAACTCCAATCTTACGTGCCCAACACATTTCATACCGAAGTAAATCACCTAAAATGCTCATCATTTTGCAATTAACGTACGCAAAGCGCTTAAAGTTAGTCTTTCTGCGACGGAAGATGCAAACAATCGGATGGGAGTGGGGACAGGGCAGAATAGATCTTGAAATCTTCCTAGGACGAAAAAGTGCCCATCATGAAGTAGCATAAGAAGACATAACGCCAATGGTCGGTTCCACTGAAAATAACCCCAGAATATCAAATTTTCGCTGATCCAACGATACGAGCGCTACTTGCAAAAAATGAGGGAACTCCAATCTTACGTGCCCAAAACATTTCCTACCGATGTAAATCACCTAAAATGCTCATCATTTTGCAATTAACGTACGCAAAGCGCTTAATGATAGTCTTTCTGCGACGGAAGATGCAAACAATCGGATGGGAGTGGGGACAGGACAGAATAGATCTTCAAAACTTCCTAGGACGAAAAGGTGCCCATCACGAACTAGTATGAGGAGACATAACGCCAATGGACGGTTCCACCGAAAATAACCCCAGAATC